GTTTTTGTTTTATTTATTTTACTCTTGTTTGCTTGTCTTTGTCGTTTTGTATTATGTAATTAATGTTTACTGTAATGTATGTAATCAAATGAAATAAAATTGTGTAGCTACGCCCACCTATCATGAAACGGTCGACTGTTTCCAGATTTCCGACTGTCGCCGAAACTGCGCCAACAAATGCCAAAATATCAGAGTAAGTCATACCCCTGAGCCGTCATAACACTGGCCACTCAAAAACTTTTAAACGATATACATTTTTCGATCGGCGTTTCGTCTATTTTCTCTTTGTTGAGAGAGAGAGTTTTTAGAAGTTGTTTAATACGGTTGCAGTAATACGTATAGTCATAGTGTAAGTATTCACACGTTTCCAATCGACCCGAAGGTGCGACATCAGTGGACGAAAGCCGTGAAAATAAGGTTGGGGTGGGCCTTCTCCTTAAAGCGTCAAATATCGTGTCCACTTCACCTCAGACTCTTTTTCGACAACTTAAACCTGACGCAACAATTTTGAAAGAAAAGGATTCCGAACCAGCCCATGATCACCCAGGCGGATTTCAGAGGAGAGAGCGAGACGTCAGGTGTTTCAGATGATTTGACTTTTTCGCGATCCTGATTATTGTTTTATAGAGACTATTTAGTCCGTGTTATGTGAAATGTAGCAATAATTTTCATAGTGACAAGAAAACGAAGCGTCTGACACAGGAAATTACGCAGCCATTACACACTGCTAATTGTCTTCATTTTCGCAGGCTAAAAGTTTCTGAATTGTTTGGTGATTGGGGTTATTTTTTGGTTCTATTCAGACGATCACGGTGACCAGCTACACAAGAATGGTCATATTGCGCATCTAACTCAATCCATGGAACAAACTTGATACTACGTGTTCATTATGGTCCATTCTTCCTCGATGAACAAGTACATATGTGGCAATTTAGTCGAAGATGAGAAAACTGCACGAGAAATTTGCCTTATTTACACACTTCGGCAATGCAAGCTGCCCAGCGAGTTCCCCTTCTTACGTCACAAGGGACTTTCTGTATGTAAGTGAGAAGCTAATGAGGAGCGTCATTTTAAAATACACAAAAATGAAATTGCCGTAGACTGAGTTTAATACACATTTTTTTCATTTAAAAAAAATAATTTATCCTTAGAAACATAAAAAATAATAATATTCATGTATCGATGGATAATTTTAGGCGTGAATATAGCAGCCATTTCACAGGCACTTTAAAATTGTGCTGTGGCAGTGAAATTCTGAATTTAGTAGAAAAAAAAGTTTTAGATATTTATGACATAGTGGATCAAAATAATGACTAACATTATTTGCAAGGTTTTTATTTATAGATCATAAGTAAAGTGTAAAAATGAGGGCCTGTGTATATTCAAATGCCAAGCACTGTAATTAGAAAAGGCTACGAGGCGGTTTATTTTCTTTTGTAGTACAATAAGTTGTGAACATGAACGTCAAACCAACAATCACTCAAACGAATAGCGGTTCCAGCAAGATAATTGACTCAACCCTCTCAATGCTTGAGTTGCTCTTCAATTTGTCCTTGCGCTTGTTGAGAGGGAATTAGTGTATGAGTGTGTATTAGTAATCATTATTCCAACTAATTCTGGCTAAATATATAAATTGCATGGTTAAAATTGTACAATGTAAAGTAACAGCAGAATTATAAGTGGGTCTACCGCCAGCTATGTTGCCACTCACAGTCGCACACAATCAACAAAAGGTCATGAACCAGGAAGCATTTTGAAACATGTCGCATGACTGGTTAAGTGTTGTCCTGCGTATTTCACTTATTTCAACAGGTATGTGATAGTATCATTGCCTATTTTTACACACGCTAATTTGGGTAATACTTTGAATCTAAACAATTATTATTGGTACAAATTCCATGTTATTAGAGCGGATTACTCTTTGCAGTGACATTTCCAATGGTGTCGTGTACACGCTGAATGGCTTTAGGACGTTGATTGATAACTATAACTGCATTGTTTGTAGCGACGGGTTGTATGTTAAAACGAGGTCATACACATGTTGAATGTAACCATCACATTAGTTTCCTTATAACTAGATAAGTTTGTAAACACAACAAAGAGCTAGATTGAACCTTGTCAAACTTATATTACAATTATCAACACCTTATGTTTGATGACATTGTGAAGATAGATTGTCAAATTGTTGAATCAATATATTTTTGTGGATTAATTAGGAAGGGTCAGCTAAACAGATCGTTGCTGTGTCAATGACTGATACATTACACATTTATTTATTGTTTTGTTTATAGTGAATAGTTTAGCTAAAAGTAAAGTCTAGACTAACGTGATACTCCCAGATGAAATAACCCTACAAGGAAGTGTAATTTATACCTTTTATATATCATTTTTAATTGTATATACTATCGACATTTCAATTAATATACGTTGGATACAATTTGTTTTTTTCCCAGCAAGAAATTATAGGTAAAATATATCACCACCACCAAACGGTACAATAAATAGAATGACACGTTTTGTTCATCTTTGCGGTCATTGAGTTATATATAAGCTGTCCACGTTATTTTCATCGTTACACTTTGAGAAATATACAAGGAATTGAGAATTTATTAGAAAACATGTAAACAGTTATATATCTAAAACTATAAATTGCATTCTTCTACATTGGTGGCGCTCTTTCATCTGTTGGCGTTATAATGTTAGCTTAAGCTTACACATTGTTTAGAGTTGGTTACATATAATTAAGAATTATTAACAGTATATGTGACATTTCGACTGTATTGCCAATCTGCGAATGGTCACATTTAGTCTAGAATTCACTCGTACCTTTTTCGCCAACAAATCACAGTGATACGACAATTTACGACGTCTTCCAGGTTGTATTGTGACATTTACTTCTACATTGTATATAACATATGGATTACAAAACCTATTAGGTACTTCTCACGATTGTGTAATTCTGTTATTTAATTATGCAAATCCAAGAAAGAGCAAACATCAACTTAACTTGTTGATCTTATATTTTTCTACTTGAAAAATATCAGCAAACATGAAGTTGTCAGGTAATGAGGAATGGTTATGCAGCCTTTTAGCTAATATCGGTCACTAGTTTGTGCTCGGTCAAATATTATGCAACTGTAACACATTATAATAATTTTAGGCATTTTTTAAAGCAAATCGTTAATAACGATCATTTTGGGGAGTCTGACAAGGGGTGTGATTGTTTAGAAACTTACAAATAACTAAGTTAAATTAATATTAATATTAATAACGGTTTATATGCATGAAGAATTTTTCCTCATTTATTTTTCGTGAACAACACAAAGGTATACATAGTGGTAATATTTATGTTTGACAAATCGACTAACAATTTTGTTTCATTTGGTTGTTTACAAGTGTCATCGACAGCCATATGGAAGCAAATACCAAGTGACATAGATGTTATCATTGGTGAATCAGCTGAACTAAAATGTGCACTTGATAATCTCAGTCCAGCACTATTACCTACATGGTATGATGCATCAACAAACCCAGCCACAGCAGTTTCTGAAGGTGAAATAGTGTTCCCAACTTGTCCTACATGCAGTATTACCGGCACTCACTCAAATGGAGAATATCATCTGACGATAAATCCTGTTAGTTTAAATGATGAGGGGACTTGGCGATGTACTGTACTTGATGCAAGCCCACAATCACAAGATGCACAACTAACTGTACTCGGTAGGTTGAAAACTAATAAAGTAATGAAACGAAGCAACGTGGACGGCTTCATGGTTCTGAGTGCAATAGGCTCACATGTTAAGCCTCTTTGGTGACAAGTTGAGTCTTGTGTTGCCGAGACATCTAGCAAGGTGCCGAGTATCTTTTCGCGCCACGTATGCAGTAATTGATTATTTTTA